TTTTTTTTTTTTTTTTTTTTTTTTTTTTTTTTGGTTTTTTTGGCTTTATGCAACAGCTATACGTGTACGCGTAACCGTTTAATTAACTTTTCTATTTTTATGTGACGTAAATTAAATGTTTTAAATACAATAAATTTTAATGGGAGACACGTAAAAATGCATCGTTTTCGGCGAAATTTACAAAGCTCGACTTACGTCGTTTCCAATGTATAGACAATCAGTAACTAGCTAAAAATAACTTACACTGAGAGAAAAAAATGAACTCAAATAAATTGTAGTTATATTTAGCAACTATATTTTTTTGGTTATTCCAACATGAACATGGCAGTAATATGCGTATAAGATTATTATATCATTAACATTACAGTAGAATTTAATTTAAAAAAATAATTTTTTTAACTATAATTTATAGTAATCGTTTCTTTGCGTGTGATTACAGTTACAAATACTATTTTGTCTCAACATACTCAACATAAAAAAAGGATTTGGTTATCGAAATCAAAATTTGGTTAAAATGGAATCAACGAAATGTTTGATAATTACAATAAAAAAATTTAATTATCACTGTTTTATTTTGCTTAGTGGTTGAATAAATATATTACTAAGAAAATGAAGCAAAACAGCGGCAATTAAATGTTTTGATTGTAATTACCAAATATTTGGTTAAATATTTGGTTTTAACTAAATTTTGGTTTCGTTAACCAAATCTTTTTTTCAGTGCACAGTAAGGATTTTTATATATTTAGCAATATTTCTCGAGATTAACAATTTGCTGAAATAAATGACGCGCTCCGATTTTAAGTGTGAAGATTGTTCACCGCGCGAATATTGGTCACGATTCGTTCTGTTATCCGGGTATTCTAACCTTGTGTGCGTATGTGTGTGTGTGTGCGTGCTGTATCTCGCAAATAGTATCCTACGTGATGTCTCGATTCATAGACGAACGGAGAGGATGGTGAATCGAGGAACGTCATTTGTAGAATATTGGAGTACAATCTGGTGGATTGCATTCTTCGAAACATTCGATCTTCAATGGAGGACGGACCAGAAATACGGAAGCCGTGGAGAAGCCGGTGGAGATCCCGGAAGATAACATATCGCGATACGAAATAGGCATTGAACTCGTGTATCGGCATCGCATTTAATATCGAGAACGACTTGTTCGGAATCTACAACTACAACCGTTCTGATACAGAACACTAATTATTTCCCAACGCAATAAAAGAATAGACAATGCCTCTTATTGTGTCGACACTTAATATACAATGAGAACGTAAGAATTTCAATCAAAAGCAAAACTCCACCGTGTTTCACGTACATACGCAGCGAATAAATAAAAAATGTCCGTCTAAAGTGCAGAAAATAATTTCGTCAGGAATATTAGCGCACTATCGTATCAATGCGCTATTCAACATCTCATCATACTCTCCTTCGTTTCTAGAGGAATCTCGTTTCCTAGGAAGAATGCCGACAGGCGAATCCATCGGTATATCGAGAGGATTCTAGAGAAAATGACGTATTCTCAGATACAGCGAACGAGCTTCCTGTCTCGTTGATATCGGCGGAAGGATGCGGCGAATGCATCGCGCTCGGAATCGATTCTGTCAAGAACGTTAAACGACGGACGAAAGGATCGTCCGTTTAAACCGATCTCTTGATGAGAAGCATATAATTATGCACCGTTGATTGAATTTTATATTATATACACGCACACACTTCTGCTAATAGTCTCGGAGCATCGCGAAAGTACAGATATCGCTGTCCTTTTAGCCACTTTGCGAAGGAGACGTGAACGAAAAGATCTCCAAGCGTCGTCGACAAATTCAGAAAAATATCATTAAGATACCCTTTGATGAGCACTTAAAATATTTTAATCGAAATTTCAACTCTTTAAGATTCGCTGCCTGCGAATCAAACAATTCTCATACGTTCCGTGCGAAAGTAGCGAAGGTCGCGTTACAATCAGACAATATTAGAATGTAAGTGGAAATAGCCGCGTTATGGCCAGGTAAAACGGGAATGGCTAGTATAGGCGCGAATTATTAGCAATAAAAGTTGAAAGCATTTTTTATAATTTTTATGTAATATAATTTAACATAATTAGTTTGTAACACTTAAAGTTACTACATAATTATCTTCGTTTGCTCGTTACAGCGCGATCCATTCGACCTGACTGCGTTCGACGCGATATTATCAATGTCATATGTATGAAAGGCTATTCAACAAACTGCGGTCTCATTTTCCTTTAATGAACTTCTAGTAAAGATATCTCATCGCGGAGCTGACAGCTTGCTACGAGAAGATGATGAATTCGCATCTCATTTATATAACGCGAATCTCATTCAGTGTATGGCCTCATATAATTTTAAGTATGTCCTTATATAATCTCACTTTGGACAACATTATTAACAACGTTGACTGAAACTTATTAAAACGTCACAAACGTAAGAGGATTAACTATTGCACTGAGAGAAAAAATATCTAAAAAAAATATCTAAGAAATAATAAATATTTATTTGCTGTGGATGCTAATAACATATATTTATTTATACAATATAAAAATATAAAATATTTTTTAGATAAGAAAATATACATTTTTGTAAAATCTTAGCTTTTCATGAGAGCAAAACTGTTTATTCTTAAAAAAATCTAGAAAGAGACTTGAGTAAATATATGTTACCAATACCTCCGCTAAAGAAATATTTATTATTTTTTAAATATTTTTTTCCCTCAATGTAGTATCTGAAGAAATGTTTTTAATATTTTTATTTAGATTCTGAAATATAAAACGAGCGGCAAAGTTACTCTCGCGGATCTTTATCTCAAAGTTTCCGAAATTAGCACACAGTAAAAGGATTACGTAAATTTAAGTTCTAATTATACAATATAGGATTAATGCAAGTTGATATAATAAGCTTACTGTGTCGAGGTGAAACGAAAACGGCTAACTTTGAAAACTGAGAGCAGCGACGAGGTATTATACAGGTCGTTCTATCTAACGATCTAATATCTGCTGAAACATGTTAGTAATATTGTATACTTTGATGCTACCCGAGTAGAAATGTAAGCCGACCTGGATCGAAAGCTAGTAGCTAGCTAGTACAGGCTAGATTAAATTTTCTAGTCCGTCACACTAACTTTACTGATTGATATAAATTCAAGTTTGTGGTTTAGCCGTTGTCTAGCCATTACACATCAAATATGACAGAGTAGATGGCGCTGTTCTATTCTAAAATATCTAGCTGCCATATCACCATTAGCGTTTTAAAAACTTGGGTATCAAGTCAAAATTTAGGTTGCATTAGTTTCATAAGATTCTCAAACAAGCAGAATCGAGCGTTGCATTACTGGTTAGCAACTACTTACGATTTTTCATCTTATAACTTATAATTGGGTTCGACTTCTACTAGGGTTGACGTCGAGTTTTCCCATTACGTCTCTCCTATATAAATTTAGGGTCTCGTCTATCATTCTGAGCGCCTTGGTCTTGCTTTCGAGCCAAGGACGACTTCTAAATCCTTGTTTTCTCTCGTTTTTCCTGGCATCGATATAACCCTTCACGTCGATCTGCGAGCGATGCGCGAGCCATCCGAGCCGAGTGGGCATCGTCTTATACGTATTACGCGCAAGAGACTATTCGCCGAGCTTAGCAGCTTCCGCTTTCCTTTTACCGAGGCCAAGAAGAGATGGCTCCCGGCGGCTGACAGCTTGCGCGAGCTACGAGAAGATGATGTAGCATCGCGACGGCGGCGCGGCGGCGGCGGCGACGACGACGATGGCGGAATGAACTCGCGCCTCGTTTGTACCGACGCAAGAACGGTCTGGATGCACTGCCCGGAACATTTTGCCGGCCAGCAAGATGAATTACATCGGGACGTGATGGTGCCGTCTGCTCACGGTCGCGCCGATCGGAGAATCGCGGAAACTTGCGCCCCACACACGCGTCAGCAGCTCCGTCGGTCTCTCCTCCCTTTGCCCGTCTTTCTCTCTTTCGCTCGTCTTATCGAGGGCTCGCGTGCTCTCGAGCTTTTCGTGTCTCGGTGGTGGATGGCGGGAACGAGAGTGAAGAACAGGAGGGCGGCGGAGGGAGGGAGAGAGGAAGAGGGACGACGAGAGGCGAAGAGGGGCGAAGGGAGAAGATTGATTGCATCGAATCCCACGTACAGTCGGCGAAAGAACCGCCGGAGCTTCCGAGCGGCGTTTTAAGGAATTTCGCTTGCATCGCGAAACGGCGGATTCCACCGACCTCGAAACGCATGAATAGGGATGAACGCTCCGTCGGGCTCGCGACGGGAATCGCTTGTTCCGCTTCCGGCGATACCGAGCGAGAAATTCCGCGGAGTGCTCCGATAATCGGGGAGAATCGAACCGCGATAATCTACTTCGGCTGTTATTAATGTCTTCACCGTGTTTTCCGTCGGATATACTTTCAGCGCACTTTCCAACGGATGTCCACGCAGACAATATCGGGGAGGGCGGCGGGCATTACGGAAACATGAGAGGATGATGGAAAGACATTTCAATTCGATGCGCGTTTTTCTCACACACGCGCGTCCACGGATTAGCGCGTCGAACGAGGTGCATTAACGCACGGGTCTCTCGACGGGGCGAGCATAGATGAAGGGACAACGCACCTCGACATTTACTCCGGGCTGGGAAAACATCAGTATCTTCGGATAGCTGTCCGGCACGTATCGGAAGAACTCGTGCTCGTCCTTGTACCATTTAACCGAGTAGAGCACGTTCTGTCCGAACAGTCGCCACTCACACATCAGGTCGACCGAGGAACCCACCTCGGCCTCCTTCGGCACCGTAAACTCCACTTTGATGTCGCTACCTGAAACACGAACACATTCACTTTGAGCATTCGCGCAAAGCGGACGACGACCCACTATAGGTAAAATCACCGATTTAGACTGAGGAGAGGCCAAAGAAGGCAAACTTTAGGGTCACACCGTTATCACGATCGATAGTGTCGGGCCGGCGAATTACGTGTAAAAGAGAGCTTCATGGAGAGAAAAATCGGCGGAGAAAGGTCCCCTTAAACGACTCTTAAATGTTTCATTTTCGTCGTTTTTAAGCTTTCCCCTTCTCAGTCGCGCGAATTTCTCGGCCAGCGTTGTACGACGATTTGTCCGATCTCTCCGCGATGCTCGCCATTTGTGCCGGGATACTCCTGGGATACGCGAACTATAAAATTGGGAACGATGCAAGGCGGGGCTTTGAAGGTAACCCGGCTTTCACGAATCGCGATCTCGAGCACGCTCTAATTCTCGAGCGTGAATAGGGTCCCCAATCCTGCAATTCGCGCAATTTCGGGGTCCTATTTCGTTAATCCGCGGGCACACGGACACGAGAGGCGACGTTTATAGTCGCGGTCGCCTCGCAATTACCGCCCACGTCTGTCAGCCAAATGCGGGCACGGACGGTAAAAGGGTGGCGTGTGTTAAGCGCGAGAATAAATACGCGGTTACCGGGGGTTACGGGTCGGGGCAAACGCCACTGCGAGTTTCACGCGAGTGCACCGGCGAAGTTCCCTTCGAAACTCGTACTTCGCTGTACATACACAGATAGGAGAAGCTGCACGGAGTTATTGCCGGTGGAATAGCGTTTCTCGGTCGCGAGGACGCGAGTTCTTGGGGGGCCCGAAAAATATACGAACGCAATAAAACGCGCAAGGTTATTATTCAGCCAATTAAAAAGCTTACTCTATAACTCACTTGGTTACAATTAATTGACTAATTGAAGAGTGGTGAATTGATGTAATATATTTATTCGGAGATGCACACAATTAACGAGAGATTCGTCTGCGCGTCAAATTACTTCACTTTGCAGTGGAGTACACGGAGGGAATTTCATAGCGAAACTTGAGAATTTTTTCGTAAACGGAGGACAGATCGACATTCTGCAGTAATTTCTTTCACTTTGTATAGTTCAATTTGCTACATTGTACATGTATTATATTATAACTTGCTTTAACTTTTTCTATATGTTTGCATGTTTGCTATTAAAACATGATAAAATTGAAAGATATTTTATAAAAAGGAAATTACACAGGAAGAGAAAGTTTGTTTAATCCGAGCAAACCTTTTTCCATCTACAATATTCTTCGTATAATTCTGTATGTCGCAGTTGAAACGCGTCGCGTCTTCGTCGTTGATATTCGAGATCCTTTTAAAACGTCACCTTTTTAGTTAAACGCCTTACCAAGCAACTGACCACGGCGCGCTCCATTGTTCTTATCTCGTTCATATCGAGATAATCAGGAGGCATCGCGACGCGCACCGCTGAACAATCCTGTTCGCCCGCGTCGCCCGTGGCTCTTAACGGGACGCATTATGACGCTATAATGGAGTTCTTTAGTAACGCGAGAACGTCAGCGGCGCGCATCGAGAAGATTTATACGGGGCTCCGGCCGCGTGTACGTTAACTCGACCGGATGGGTCATAATACGGCGCGCATCGGGTTAATTTCGGCGACCGGGTGGAGTGGCCGTCGGTCGGATGGGATGACGACGAGGAGGAAAGCGCAGCGCGCGAGGATCACGTTGGGCTTAAGTGCGGAGGCTGTTGTCGTTAAAGGTCCATCGAGCGGAATATAGACACCTCGCTCTCCGCATTGCCTGGCCAGCGTCCGCAATTTACAGTGCCGCGTGTTGAGATTTAATGACGCGCGAATTTCGACCTCGCGAGTTAAGGTCTCAAAGAGCAGAGCCGGACGTGTGAAGCTCCCTCGAGCGAGTGCACGCGCGAACGAGAGAGAGAGAGAGAAAGAGAGAGAGAGAGAGAGAGAGAGAGAGAGAGAGAGAGAGAGAGAGAAAGAAGGGAAGAGAGGAGGGGGGAGAAAGAGAGAGAGCCACATACCAGCGCGCGCGTCCATGAGTTATGATTCCCCGGCGCGGCTCGTCGGTAAGAATAAATCTTAATTTTCGCTCGCGCCCGAGGAGCGCGCCAGCGCGCGAGGGCCATACGGACTTTTATAATGCCGCTGCAAATAATAAGTGGTGTAACCGCGCAGCTTGTTTATTACGTCGTTTGTCAGGATACTTGAGAATATTCCTCGCAATAGCCAGCGATTAACAGAGCCCGCGGAGAGATATGCCTGCGACTCGCACAGCCGCGATTACTTATGTCTGCATAATATTTCGCCATGGGTGCCATTGATCGCCAATAATTGGAAAGATGGAAGGGGAGGGGAAATGAAATGAATCTTGTAGGTTGGATAATTCTTGCTTATTACTCTGGTTCATTCGACTCGAAATTTATTTATACATTTCGCTTATATCGCTAAGTTAACATTGATTTGTTATTTATTGTCAGTTTGGAATTAATGCATTACTTATTACTGGTTATGATTCAATCGATTATTAGGCAGCAGGTTATTTCTTTAAGCAATTTTCATACGCGAGTATATTAAAGTGTTTCGTGTGAAGCGACGGGTGCTGTTCGGTGTAGGAAAGTTCATCTCTCGCACACTAATATATAGACTCGATACGGGGACACTGCGATGACGTTCCGCGGGATTAGCCTAACCTAGGTGTCAGTCGCAGCTGTTTCCGGTGCCGCGGTTTGCGTTTCGCGACGCGTTTTCGAACGAGGCGTCTCTCACCATCATCGCTCTTTCTCCCTCCCTCTCTCTCTCTCTTTCTCTTTCTCTCTCTCTTTCTATATATATATATATGTATATACATATATCTCTCGTCCGCGCGTCGTCAATTTCCGTCGTTACAACGACCGTGTCGTTACGTTGCCAGTGGAGTTTGACATCTCATAGCTGAGACTGCATCACTGACGTTTCCGCGCCATTTATCAACGGCACCTGGCATATTGAAAACTGTTTCGTCGCGACGGGCCGATCGTGAAAGAAGGCGCCAGAGATGTACAGTACTATCGATTTTAGGCGCGCGAGGCTTTTCAATCAGGATGGATTTTAATCACGGGCGATACACGAGTACGTGCGAATCGTACCGCCGTCCACGTATGCACGTCGGCATGTATGCAAAGTGAAAATTCCTGGAATATTTCTTGAATTGCAAAATCATCAATTTCGAAACGTTCTAAAATATTCTCGCTGCTGCGCGATAGGTTTGCTTAATTAACTGTAGTTATGCAAGAACGATTCAGCTCACACGAAGTACGTTTCGAGAAGATGAAATTCAAAATTTCATACGTGATTTGAAAAGTATAGATAGCACTCAAGTTCCTTGCAATCATTCAAAAAGTCAGACGTGGTCAATTTTCTTCTTCTCAAGACTATTCATTGACAAGCTTAGAAAATGGATAAAAAATGGCGCAACTAGTAGTAAACAAAAACTGTTTTTTGATTAACTTTAGGTGTCCATGAAGCTTTTTGGTTTTATGTAGAAAGATGTACCTATAATTGGGCTATCCATTGGTAAAGCAAAAATTCAAGAATCATAATTTTGTAGGTTGGACAATTCTTGCATAACTATGTGGCCGTCGATTCTCTCTCAAGTCAAATTCGATTGACTTTCCCTTCCTTTTTCTGGAAATAAAAAGGAAAGAAAATTTACATGTTCAACCATAAAATGTTCCGAACTTCTCCCGAGAACGATAAGAAACGACCAACTCGTCGGTTTTCAACGCGCAAAGTTAAGATTCCGTCCCGGTCCAGCTGAAATTTATTGGGTGCCAACGCAGTGGCATTACAATCGCGCTTCGCAGAGACTTCCCGCGTTCGTGAAAATGAAGTCTTCGTCGCCGAAAGAGACCGCGAGACAAAGCTGCCTTCGAAGTGCGTTCAAAGTAGCGACGGTCCGTTATCCGCATTCTCGTCGCGCAATTCCCTATAATCCCCCGTCCTCTCTGTCTACTCGTTACTACCTTGACAAAAACGGCGCATTACGCAAAGAGGCGTCCGATTGTCCCGATCAAAGTCTCTCGCGCGAGACTTTTGCCTCACATTGCTGTTGGGTTTCCTTCGCATTCTCTGGACCGCGTCGACAGGAATATTTCTTGCTCATCGCGGACGCTAAGTCTTTCAAGCTGTCCGGGTCTTTCAAGCGTTTCCTTTACCGTCTGATCTCCGCCGGATTCCATTCAAGTCATGCAAGACTCTTCTCGCGAATTGAAATCGAATGCCTGGGCTACCTTCTCACTTTTGCGACTACCATCTCTCGTGTCTGCGCGTTCGCCGCCGCCGTTCACATGAAATTTATCTCTAAACAAGGTAGACGTCCCGTCCCGCTCTAGATTTGCGATTTTTCATCCGCGAAGCAGAAACGTTGTGCCAAGTCAAAAACGTTTGCCGATGCAAACTTTTCTTCTTTTCGCTCTGTGAGGCGAAATAATATTTCTGACAAGAGAAGCATGTCTACGTGACTCTCGTTTTATTGTTTCGCCGACGAACATTATTGCTCCGACTTTTGCTACAGTTGCGTGTGTGCGAGTGTATGCACACACACGCCCACGTGCGCGCGAAGAGAAAGAGAGAGAGGATGTGTGTGTGTTTACATGTAGATTTCATTAAATATATAAATATTTACATATGCGCGTCGTTCTAACTTTGTTAAAATTCTCAAAATCTCGTGCGAATTATTTTAATCAGACGACGAATGAAATTCTGGCGGAACAAGAGAGATTCCCTTGAATTCAAATAAAATATAACATTGCTGGCGCATAGCGCGATTTAGATTCCAGTACGTTTAATCTCTCGGGACTCTTGAGGATTTACCACGGCTCGACAGCTGAGCTACATAAAAATCGGCGACGAATCGTTCCGAGTGCCATTAGCGCTCTAAGCTGCCGGAAAATCTTTTAGACTCGGCGATACCGGCGGCCGGTGTAGCACGTAACAAGTCGCGCGAGCAACGGAATA